AAGTTCCATAATGGTATCTCAATCATCTTTAAACTTCCAAGGCCAAGGACATACCTAGAACTAACAGATGACTGACAAATGGCTGATGAAGGAAAGATTGAATGAATAATTGGAAATTGGAATGACATAAAGCTATCTACTTGAAAAGACTTAAAAGAATAAAGCCATTTTTGTACAGAATTTGAAGAGAAAAATAATTTCTTGGTCTCATATGTATACTTTCTAAATAAATTATTTGGAGAAGCAACAATACTCATATCTTTTAATAAGATGACACCCATGAGATGTAGTGCTGTCAGGGGAACATAGCTGAGTCTGGCAAAGCTAGAGTCTGTGCTTGGAATAAGAAAGGACCTCCTCTCTAGGGTCATCCTTTCTCATTTTAGACTTCCTACTCTGGGCTACAGTTTCCCCCTTTATTCTGTTGCTAAAAGGAAACATTGATTTTTTTTTTCTTTTTTTTTTGCAAAGGGCTAAAAACTGTGTGTACCAAATTTTACCTAGTTTGAATACTACTGGCTGAAAGAAATTTACCTTCCCTCATTTTCATACACTCAGATGAATGGGCACAGGAATGAACTATACAATTGCTACGTGCTATGGTCTAAATGTTTGTGTCCCTCCAAAGTTCATATGTTAAAACCTAATCACCAATGCAACAGTATTAAGATGTCAGCTTCCTGGGAGGTAACTAGGTCATGAGGGCAGAGGTCTCATGAATGGGATTAGGGCCCTTATAAAAGAGTCCTGAGGGAGCTTGTTTGCCCCTTTCACCATGTAAGGACCCAGCAAGAAGGTGTATCGATAAAGCAGAGAGCCCTCACCAGACACTGAGTCTGCTGGCACCTTGATCTTGGACTTCCCAGCCTCCAAAACTGTGATACATAAATTTCTGTTGTTTATAAAAGACTCAGTCTAAGATATTTTGTTATAGCAACATGAATGGACTAAGATAGTAGGATTCACAGACATTACCACAAAACCCTAATGGCATAGACAACTTCTCTGACATCAAATTTCAAAAGACATACAGGAGTAAATTTATTTTAAACATAACTAAAATAAAAATAAAAAGTTGTGCATAATATGTATATATTGTGCATCACTGCAGATTTGGTATTCCTTTAGGAGAGCAATCATACTTGTAATTAAAATTTCCAAAATTAGGCATCCAAAGCTAGAAGAGGCCTATGAATTGCAGAAGCACTCTGTTATTCCAAAGAGAGATTTTATAAATAGAAGATTTTGTATATAAGCCTATTTATCTACAGCCTAGTAAAGAGTTGAACACTGTCTAGAGAATGTGATCTAAGTAGGCAAACAATTCAGATAATGTAAATTGCAGTTTGGGGCCTAAAAAAATACAGAAAACATGTTTAGTCTAAAAAAATATAGAGACCTAAAATGGCATGCAAATTCTGATGAAAGTTTTTTTGTGATGGGGCAATAGGGAAATACTAAGATATAAATTAAAATCAAAGAGACTTTTAAATTTAAAATTATGTGTCAAGAAAGTGGCTTCTAACATAATTGTTCCAAGTTCCCATTCAATACCTACAAAGACATGCAACACAAAAATAAAGGTCAACAATCTACTGCTAGACCTAGTAAAAAATTTTCATAAATGGAACTAAACTGAAAAAAAAAGCAGAGCTTCCCTGTGCTTCACCTCTTAGAACACAGCAGCCCCTATTACCCAGAAGAAGGGAAGAAGGCCCTTCTACTTACACCTACCTCAGTGACCCAGAGCCCTTTACCAAAAAATAAAAAAGACACTTCTCCTTCTCTAAGACAGATGGTATTTTTTGAGGCAGACAGAGTACTATATCCCTGACTTCATTTTTCATATCCATGCTGAGGCTGTACATCCCAGAAAATAAAGGTGAAATAATTTAGAGATATCCTGGTAATTGCACATTGTTTCCTGTGTGCGCAGAGGTGGGGAGAAGCTGATGGCAGTATGTGCTCGGGGTCTGAACTCATAGCTGCCATTGGTTTGGTTCTGTGTGAAAGAATAGTCTGCATAAATAAGAATCTCATGGTTTTTTTTCTTGCTCTGCTGTCCTTCAAGCCCCCTATGTGGATTGAGACAAAATTAACAAAAGAAGAGGCACATAGAGACATATACTAATAAAATGGTGAGATACACAGGTAAAGAAAAAAAATCCTGTCCAATATCTATCCAGAAAATGCAGGTTAGTTACAAGCAGATGAAATCAGGTTAGATTTCTTTTAAACTAGAAAGGCCAGAAGTCAACAGAACCAAAATTACACACAGTTTTGCAGGAAAAAGTTTGTGAACTAAAAGTATGATAGGAATCATATATTCTCTGGTGTATCAGACCTGAAAATAAATAGATAGATAGATCATAGCTAGCTAGATAGATTAGTCACATGACCACCTAGAGAAAAGTATAGGAGGCAGTAGTCATGATTTATTTCAAAAATAAAAGCTTAAGAATTGGAGAGCTTTCTAGAAAAGGATGGTGACAGAATACCCTGAAATCTTTTCAACATAGTTGTCTTAGTAATAATCATAAATAAGTTGAAAACTGAATGCAAATTTCCCAAACAAATTTCAAAATTCAAACATGCAAGTTAATAATAATAATAGCTTATGTGGCTATTATGTGCTAGATCAGGCGTCCTCAAACTACGGCCCTCGGGCCACATGCAGGTGTTTTTGCCCATTTGTTTTTTTACTTCAAAATAAGATATGTGCAGTGTGCATAGGAATTTGTTCATAGTTTTTTTTTTAACTATAGTCCAGCCCTCCAATGGTCTGACAGACAGTGAACTGGCCCCCCGTTTAAAAAGTTTGAGGACCCCTGTGCTAGATGCTCTTTTACTGTGCTAACTCGTTTAATCTCAAAAAAAGTACAAAATAGGTACTATTATTATCCCTATTTTCCAGATGAGAAACTGAGGCACGGAGGGGTTTAGTAAATTGTAGTAGGCTACATAACTAGAAACTGGTTATAACAGCCTGAATTTACAAATCTGAGGATTTTTTTTTAACTTGGAAATTGGGAAAGGTGGGTAGTAAAATCCTTTGGATGTATCATACAAAGCTCAAATGAATGTGTCTAAAGTCTCACTCTTTCTTAGCCCCCCAAAACTTATTTTCCCAGCTCTCACCATTTCCATAAATAATCTCACCTTCCACCCAGTGCTCAAGATAAAAATACTAGAAATTATCTTTAATTGTTCTCTTGCCTGCATAATCCATAATTAAACAGAAGTCTTAATTCTACTTTCAAAATACCTCTTCTTCATTCAATTTGCTCATTTCCACTGTCACACTTCTAACCCCAGTGACCACTGGTCTCTCCACCTTTGACGGCTTCTATCGCTTCCTAATGGACCCCCTCACTTCTATCTTAAACCCCTTTAATCTACTCTTCCCCCAGCAACAATACAACTTGGCACAGTTCTTATAATTCTCCAATAGCTTCTCAGTGAATGGAATAGAATATGGACTCCCTCAAGTGCCCTAAGAAGCCCTGCATGTTCTGACCCTGCCTCCTGCCTCCACCTTATCCAGAGTTTAGCAAGCTCCTCTCAGCCTCTGGCATCTTAAGTTTTCAAAAATTATATTTCATGGAGTTTTAGAATAATATGCACTTGAATTAATATGCATATCTCTCTGTCTTTCAATCACTGTACTCTAGCCAAACTGCTGGTGGTCCTCACTAAATGTTGAGTCTAATTGGAAATAAAATTATAGGATAATTAAAATATTATTAAAACAGGAGCAAAATGTGTCAATTGTCATCAAAACTGTGTGGAGATAAGGTCATCATTATAAACGCCTTTATTGAAAAATAAAGACTAAGAATAAATTCAAAACCTTGCGCACAAAATTAGAAATGACAGAAAAGATATAATGATATTTTTAAAAGAGTAAATTCTTAGATCTATAAATGATATTGTTTTCCCTCCTGTTTATTTAAAAATATTTTTAAAACTATAAAACTTAATCAAGAAAAAATTAAAACAAATAGCAAATATGAGAAAAGAGATGCAGGAATAAATAGGAATAGATTTTTTTAAAATTTTCAAATTGTAGAAAATACTATGTACTAAAAATTTAAATCCCAATATTCAGTGCTGATTCTACAGCAACTAGAACAGTGCCTTGGACATGGAGGTTTTCAGTAAATATTTGGTAAATGCATATATTTTATAGGAAAATATAACCTGTCTCAAGAAATAGAAAACCTGAAAAAAGCAACAACCTCAGAGAGGGGGTAGGATCCCTTCTATCATCAAACAGTCATCACAAATAAATTCCCCAACCTTCTCATTCAGTAAATATTTATGAACACGTACTCTATGCCAAACACTATTCTAGACTCTGAGAATACCTATACACCTCCCTCCCCCCAAAACCTAAAACTGTCCTCTCTTCTTTCCATTCTTTTTTAACTTTAATATTGTTATTTTTATTTCAGAATATTACAGGAGTACAAGCATTTAGATTCCATATATTGCCTTTGCCCTCCCTAAGTCAGAGCTACAAGCATGACCATTCCCCAGACAGTGCGTACCACACCCATTAGGTATGAATTTACCCATTCCCTTCTCCTCGCCCCACCTGCCCAACACCCAATGAATGTTACTTCCATATGTGCACATAAGCGTTGATCAACTAGTACCAATTTGATGGTGAGTATATGTGGTGCTTGTTTTTCCATTCTTGTGATACTTCACTTAGAAGAATGGGCTCCAACTCCATCCAGAATATAAGAGGTATTATTAGATCATCATTTTTTGTAGCTGGGTAGTACTCCATGGTGTGCATATACCACATTTTATTAATCCACTCGTATATTGATTGGCACTTGGGTTGTTTCCACATCTTTGTAATTGTGAATTGTGCTGTTATAAACATTCCAGTGCAGATGTATTTATTTTTAAATGTCTTTTTTTCCTTTGGGTAATGTCCAGTAGTGGAATTGCTGGATCTAGTACAACCTCTATGGAAAGTGATATGGAGATACCTCAAAGAACTAAAAGTAGAAAACTGTCCTCTTAAAGTTTCATTCTTCTGCAAATATCATAAAAGCAATGATATGTACTATGATGAAAACTACAACAGTGAGGAGGATGAGGAATATGGAAGGGGTACATTGGGGGTTAGGGAAGGACTCTTTGCTACTATCTGAGCAGCTAAGGAGTAAACCATGTAGATAATGAGGAGAGCTGGTTCCAGACAAGGAAAGAGAAAGTGAAAGGGCCCTGAGTAAAAGTAGTGCCTGGAGATGAGTGAGTGAGGCAAGCCTGGAGGGACCCAGGTCACGTGGGACCTCAGGAGCACTGCATCCTGAGGACAAGGGAGCTACTGCAGAGTTGCAATCTGACATGTTCTAACCTACACTGTGGTACACACTGTGACTGCAGTGTAGACAATAGGTTTTGAGGTGCAAGAGGAGAGCTGGAGGAGCAATGAGGACATTGCTATAATCCCAGCAAGAGGTGATGGTGGCTGAAACCAGGATAGTCACAGCAGAAGTGACAAAGCAGTAGGACTCTGGGTACATTCGTGGCCAGATTCTGGATTCATGTTGAGGATGGAGCTGACAGGATTTCCTGGTGAATGGAAGAAATTTATACTTTAAAATACTTCAAATATCTTATAAATTAATAATAATAGCAATCAGTAGTTAGACCTGGAGATTACCTATTAACAGATGCTGAAATATATTTTTTAAACTAAGTAAATGATAAGCTTGGCTTTACAAACCAAATCTGTGGAGAAAGAAATAATCATTCAATAAATAGTGCTAAGATAATTAGTTATCTATTTTTAAGTCACATTCTTAGCTACTGTATATGCCAAAGCAATGGTAGATGGATTGATAAATTTAATGCAACAGATTTTTTAATAACAACCATTAATAAATGCCTAGATGAAACTGTTAGTGAATTTTCTAATCTGTACTCAGAACTAACAGAAATTGTAAATTTAACAGCAATGAAAGAAATCACAAAGAGGGAGAAAACACTGCAGGGTTAATGAGATGAAAGCATAGAACTTCCATATGTCAAAAATCCATAAACAAAATTAAAATCAAGAAAACTAAAAAATTTTGTGATAAATATGATGACAGATGGTCAATGTTCTTATCGCATACAAATTTACTAAAAAAACAAAAATATAAACCCTAACCACCATGATGAACAGTTTTAAAGACCAAAACAAAAAGTGGAGCTCTTTGGAGCTGTGCTAACATGGTTCTTCCAGGAACTAATGGTAGTGTTGGTTAAAATTTACATTTTCATAAAATTCTCAGCATTGAAAATACTATTTAGTTTTTCCAGATAGAAAGGAGATTTGAAATGTAAAATTGAAATCGTTCTTTAAAGGAGGATACATTCAAATAGACAGGTAAACTAATATCTTGGACATATGAAAAGAATTACATTTTGGAGGAAGTATACAAATAATACTTATAATATGAAGAACCCTGAACCATTAATTAGAACTAAGAAAGACTTCTAGGATCGTTGTACACTGCTCCCTGAATGCAAGATCCCAGTGTATTGCTGTGGACAAAAGGAGCTATAAAATACCAGATATTAATTCTGAAAATGTCTTCCAAAACAATAGTGGACAGTCCCTGGAATAGTATATGCTGTACTGATGGTCACTGCCTCTCTAGAGAGAAAGGGAAATAGGAAGATCTCGGGGATTGAGAGGTTTGTGAAAATAAACTTTAGAAAACAGGATTCTTTCTCACAGGTGCAAAATTAAAATAATAATAATAAATGTACTACGTGTTTACTGTGAGCCAGGCGATATGTTAAATTCCTTAAATATGTTATCCCATCCAGTCTTCCCAACCACCCTAGCAGGGAGGTATTCTCACCCCCTGGTTACAAATGAGGAAATGGTCTCAGAGCTTGAGATCACACAGCTGGTGAGAGCAAAGCAGGGAATCCAAGGTGGGCCTGACTTCAAGGCACATTTTCTTTGTTGTTAGGATCTTTATTCTTACAAACATGGGCTTTTCTACTACATATTAGACTTAGGGGACGCTCCTTGAAATGTCAAAGAAGAAAGCCCAAGGCCAAATAGCCCCATGGCAATGTCACTGGAATTCCCTTCCTCATGAGGCACAGCAGGAGGAAGAACCTCATATTCCAAAAGGGAGTCATTAATTCATTTAAGCATCTTACCAACAAATACTTACTGAGGCCCTACTCTGTATCAAACACTGTGCTAGTACACACTGAATGTTAAATTGAGAATGAATTTCCACGGGCAGAAAGGAATGCTTGGGGTGGGCATTACCAGCTGTTTTTATATTGAACTCATGAAGCACAAGCATGCTTCACAAAGAGGAACCTTTTATTGCTCTGGCCTAGTGAACACAATAAACCACAAATCTGACCCCTGTCCTTCGGTCTAAATATAACCCATGCACATTTTGAAAGATGCAACACTGGACTATGGGTATGGTTTGTTGAACACTTGAAGAAAATAACACTAGGTCATAATTTTGGAATGGGGCTCTACAGCCTACATTTTAAATGTGAAATCTGCTGAGATTCCTTGTACATTTATTCCTATATTCCTAGTGACTAATAAAATAATTTTAGAGTTGTTTATTTTCTACTATTTTCTACTATGATTTATGTTTGCATTACTTGCTAATCTTTATCTTCAACTTTCTCCATCATCTCTCTCACAATGTCATCTTTGGAAGGTTTGTTTTATGCCCCTTATATAGTCTGAGAAGAGAGATGGGTTTTCTTTTAAGAACATGTGCAAGAGAAGGATTATATGGGGTAGAAAGATGTCCCTAAAAGTATTATATTCTATATTAGCAAATAAAGACACCAGGATACTTTCCAAAATTAAATGTTCTTTTAGAAATTATAGAGAAATGAATGCAGTCTATTGAACTTGATTCCGACTAACAAAATTTTCCAACTTGGAAATTTCATGTTTGGATAACCAGCTTACTTGGAAAATAATGGTTTTGTGTTTACCAGCTGCCAAAAGCCTAAGTGCAGAACAACAGACCCCCGAGGGACGGCTCCCTCTCCAGTCATTATGAAGGTAAGGCTGGAGCCCAGGAGGGAGGAACAGATTGCATTGCACATGAGCATGACCTAGTGGCTGGTTCACTGAGTGGCATTTATGGCAGCAATAGAAAAGGCTACTTGTCTGTTTTCCAAGTGTCAGGGTAAGTGATGTGTATACAGCTGTTGTCCATGGAGAGGTAAAGAGCAGGAAAGAATAGCATCCTAGAAAGAAAGCATAAGTGAGAAAGAACATTCCTAACTTCCCAATATTAAGCAGTTGGGACTCCCCACTGCCTTCAGGACCCTGGGCCCATCAAAAGCACTTCTTTGCAGAAGTAAACAGAATGTTCTTACTGATTCTTCACAAGGAACCAAAAATGATAAACTTTGCTTCATACTGGCTCCCAAATCATTGCAGGGAGTTTATTTAGACAGTGAGGCGCTTAACAGAGCTTACCATGGTAAGCATGACTTGCCATGCATGCTTCTTCAGGGGAACACCAGCAAGCCTGTAGTTGTATTGCTAAATAATGTATTGTAAGTGGGAGGCATCAACCTGAGAGAGAATTTGAAAATGCTGGGTTATATTTTGCATCCAAACATGTATTATATATGCCTGAGCATTTCTATATCCCTTGGTTAACACAGCTTTGTGTGCACATCAATAGTTTGATTAAAGTTGACTATAATAAAAATTATCTGAAGCACTTTTTGTAAACTCTCAACCATAAGTGTTCTATCTTAATCACATGGCTACTGATATGACAGTTAGTGCATAGTTCTCATCGTGTTTTATAGAACTAGATACTCTCCACCTAGAATTATGAATTTATTACATTTTCCTATAATCTGGTCTCAGCAATTTTCAGGGGAAAAAAATAAAACCATAGATGCTAAAGTTACAACCCTGCTTAAATAAGCAAACAGATTTCAAATGCCCAATTCAAATACTATGCTCCATACATTTGTATATTATCTTCACAAGGCTCATCTATATAAATTTAAATAATTTGGGGGCCATAATACAGATAAAGTCAAATTCAGTATCAAGTAGTAAACCCATGAACTGCAAAGATTTTCTTTGAATATATTTTTAAATGATCACATCACATTATCAGTACTGAAAATGCTCACAATAAGGTCTGATTTAACAACAAAAAGTTTGGGCTAAGAGTGCAGAGACTCTCAAGCAGCAGATTGTGAAGTTTGCTGCTTGACCCAGAGCCTTTGGGGCCTGTTTTCAGACAATTATGGGAAGGGAGAGATGCTTAATATTTTGTATTTATTAGAACTACTTATATTGCAAAGACAGAAACACCCAGCTCAAAAGAACTTAAAGAATACAGGATTTTCTGACACGTGGAGTATGGAGTCCAGAGTAGGGCAGGTCCAGAGTGGGGCAGGTTTTAGGGTGGGCTCTTTCTCTGCCTCAGTGATCCCACTAGGGACAGGACTCTCTGCATCTCCCCATCCAGGGGGGCAGCTCCATCCTCAACCTGTCCACACTCACAGTAACCAGATGCTGCCATCATCTGAGGATACACATTCAGAGACAATGCGCCTGCCCTACATTTTCAGGAAAGTGCTTGCATTTTTACTCTGATTGGACTGATGGGCCTGCTACCCCAGGAGCACCTCAGCTGTGTGGGAAAAGTGGCTGCCCCTAAAAATCAGCCATTTGTTAGAGGAGAATAGGGAAAAGTGGATTCTGAGTAGACAACCAACAAATATTTATCTGATTTGTAAAGACTGGATTTTTTTGGTTTTCTTTTACCAATTTTGATCTTCTACTATTCTGAGTTCCTTGGGCCTCACCAAGTTTATACATTTATTCAACAAGTACTTACTCAGAATCTAAATCATGGCTCCTGGCCCACCTCCAAGGAGATTTTTTAACTGGTTAGAGAGAAAGACAAGAGAAATGGTTATTTCGATAACTAAAGGAGGGTACCATGATTTGAACATTTGCTCCCTCCAAAACTTCCCTTGAGACTTAATCCCCTGTGAGGCAGTATTGAGAAGTGGGGCCTTTAAGAGGGGATTGGGTCATGAGGGCTCTGCTCTCATATATGGATTAATATATTGATAGTTTAATGGATTCATGAGTTAATGGGCTAGTGGGCTATCAGTGAGTGGGATTGGTGGCTTTACAAGAAGAGGAGAGAGACCTGAGCTAGCACACTCTGCCCCCTCACATGTGATGCCCCGTGCCACCTCAAGACTCTGGAGAGAAGTCCCCACCAGTGACAAGGCCCTCACCAGATGTGGCCTTGAACCCTTGACTTCCCAGCCTCTAGAACTGTAAGAAATAAATTTTGTTTCTTTATAAAGTACCCAATTTCAAGTATTCTGCTATTGGCAACAGAAAATGGACTAAGACAGAAAGACTATGAAAATAAATAAGAAACAAATGTGTGTGGGCATTTGTGTAAGAAATGGGGGGAGAGGCATAAGGCAATGATCTGAAAATAAGGAGAAATGAAATGGTTAGACAACAGGAGGAATGGGGAAAAGGTGGTTGGAGTCAGATTGTGAAGAGCCTTGTGTACTAGTCTGGGAAGTTTGAAATTGGTCTGCTAAAGTCAGGTATAAATGTGCTCAGATTTGTTGGGGAAAGTGAACCCCATGGTTGTAGTTTTTAAAAGTCTGAAAGTATAATTTAGGTGTGTTAATATAGGTGGCCTAATTCAGTGACCCCAAATCCCCACACCACTGCAGAATCTCAGTCCTTTCTGTTGTCTACATATGCACATCCTTCCAAGCCTTCCCAGTTTTTGGGTTTTTTTTTTTTTGAGGTCTCAACATTTAAAATAAGACTATCAACTACAGTCGTGTTCTCCTCCCCTGTTCTGCTTCTGCTCCTGCTCGTCCATGCCCACTGCCCAGAAAGCTACTTAAGGAAACCTCAATATCAGTGATGCCAGCTCACCTATCAACAAAGGGAGCCACTGGTCTGCAGAGCTCTAGAGACGTGCTGGTTTCCATGCAGAGAGACTTAGGGAGGCTCTCACCCTAACTCTTATCACTGGGGCACCAAAACAATTATTTGTGCCCAAAAACGCACAAAGTGAGACTGTCATAAAAATAATTTCTTCAGTCCTTACTTGTTTAATCATGGGCGTTCAAATTTATTTCAAGGTACATGGTAGGATCCAAACACTATAACTTTCCATCTTTCTTACCCTCCTCAAAGGTCCATATACACACAAAATCTGCCCCTTCTACCTCAAGCAACAAAGCCATAGCAAGATGCAAGTGGAGACTGAAGGAGAAAGAAGTTGGCCCTTTATACTGCCAGCATACGGACCCCAGCTTCTGACATTCCTAAAGACTGATTTACCACATATGTTAAGTTCAGTGCCTGACACATCAAAGGACTTAGGTGTTACTCATTGGATGAGTGCATGGCTAAACAGTGCAAAGAATAGATTGGAGATGGAAGAGGATAGTCATTCAGAGACTGATAGGCTATTGGAATAGCCTAGGAGCACTAAACTAAGACACCAGCAGATGAAGCCAAATTTGAGAAACATTTCTGAGATGGAATCACCAGATATCAGCAAATGGATTCTCCTTTCATACATTTTAGGAAGAGAGTGAGTAAAAAACATGGGTGCCAACCAGACAACCAACAAACATTGGGTATAGGTTTTCTTTTACCAATTCTGACCTTCTACTATCCTAAATTCCTTGTCCTCATTAAATATTATTTATGCAAAACTTAAATTTTCATTAGTTTAGAAAAATAAATAAGTACTAAATGCCACAACTGCTATATTAACTATCCCTTGTCAACCAACTCAAAGTAATTTACTAGGTATAATCTATATCTGAGCCAAATAAAATGAAAATATCATTTTTATACATACTTTCTTCTTTCCCATACATTCTTCCTTCATAAATGCTTTATTAAAAAGACCACATGGAATATCATAAGTGGTTTCATTACACTTGTCCCTAATTCAGGAAGATATGACTTGCTCACCTGTTGACACTGAGTTTTCAAACTCACTGGCAAAGGGATAAATACATGGATTTGATTACAAATTATTTCTTCTCCCACAACCAAATCTTGTGCAGCGTTTAAAAATTTCCTACACTGTTCAAATATTCCTTGGACATATAAAAGGCTATTTAATAGAGAAATTCAAAACTAGTCAGAGAAATGCACTAGTAGCAGTAATAGTCTTGATAGTCAATGATAAATCAAAGAAATAAGAGTTTCTCATTTCAGACATCAGATCTCACTTCAGATGTCAGGTCTGCGTCATGACTACAAATTGAGTAAACTTACAGGTTATAATCAACAAGGGAAATATAAGCAGTGTAGACTCATACACAATTTGATTTGACTACAAGATTGAGATTGCTAATTCCTTGCTAATTACAGGCTGAAACAAAAATCTACTAACAATCCACTTCTGGGAATGTAAAAAGTGAATGGTTCATTATTTTTAGGAAAAGGTACTTTGGTGATCCACCCTTTTCTTCTCAAGCACAAATCTCCTTTAGCTTTCTGAGTCACCATTGTTTCCAAGTTAAAATTCTAGAGCTGGTGAAGAGGAGGGAAGGCACCAAGCACTCTTAAATGTAGGCCAAAACCCAGGCACAAATGGGTGTGAACCAAATAAATACTCGGCTTCTTTATACCCAGGTGAACTAAGACTCAGGAAATTTGGGGGAACACTGGAGGATGTGATTGTGGATTAGAGAAGTTCCCCAAAATTCATTCTGATTTTGAATCACCACCAAAAGAGGAATTCATGAAGACACAGAAACCCATTTGAGCAGGGTGAGCACTTACAGAATTACATAAAACTGAATTTGCATCAGTGTCCTGTGTGGGACTCTCAGAAATATTGCAATCCTCTGGACTCCTTCATTTTTCTCCTGTGCATTTCAAAACACCTGAAGTAGGTATTCTTCAGGAAGAAGGCCAAGGTTGAAACAAAGCCCCCAAAGCATCTGTGCATTCTTGGAATCTCCCCGAATTCAGCATGATCCTGATGTGTTCTGGAGATTCCTTGAGTGTCATAGAGCTGGACAACCTGGACCCCCTACAAAGAACCCAGTGGTCCAGCCCTCTGACCCTCAGACCCTGGGGCAGTCCCATGGATTAGCTCAGGATCAAAATGTCCACTCTATATCCTGGATGTCATTCTTATACTTCAGCTTGATGTATTAGTACAATGAAAGGCACTTAGTTTTGGCTCTACTCCAAGGAGGAAGCCCTATTAACTCACTGCCTAATTTGAAGTCACAAATGTACATATCTACTTTCAAATGGGAAGATGTGTGTAGCCTTGGAACAAAGAGCAACTCTGAGAGAAGCAAAGCCAAGGGCCAATGACTTCTAACTTCATCTTCTAGAAAACTATTCCACCATGTACCTCATGAGCTGGAGTTTGAAAGCCAAACAAACACTAAAGAAAAATGGAAGAATTTTAAAGGAGAATGAAACAACCACAACAGGACAAATAATCCTGAAACGCAAATGAGAACACTCCCATTGGCAGAGACACAAAGGTAATATTTTCACTAGAATGAATAGTCCTAGAAAAATTTGTTCTCCAATATCAGACACAACCAGGCCTTTCCTTCCATATGAGACATGAACGTCTCCTTTTTCCACTTCATCTTTTTCAGTTATCCAAACAAAATTTTAGCAGCAAAAGAAATAATGAATGTAGTCTGCTTAAGTCCAGCGTTTCTTTGCTGATGTATTAACTCCCTGGCAGTAGTCAAAGAGGGCACTCACTCTCCTGAATATTTCCTTGTCTTTTATCACCTTTAGGATTCCAGTGTCACTGAGTAACTTCTTTTTAATTTTGTACCAGTGCTAGAAGCAAACACCTTAAGAGCACATTAATTTCATCCTGCCTGAAACTTTGGGAGGCTTTGGCTGTTTAAAATGTTTTTTTTAATGTGTGTCAGAACACTTTAACTTCAACCACTCTGCTAAGAGGCTGTTGTTTTAGTTCAAAGTGTACACAAAGGAGAGGATCACCATGTATGAACTAATATTTGCTTAACTGTCTTCATTTCCCCAGTGCCCTGCAATTCAAGTGCTCTGTATTCCTTTCTGTAGCAGTCATGAGAGTAAGTGAAGAAAAATTGTGTTGTTCCTAAGTACAACACATGCCAAAGAGTCTAGTATTTGGCCTACTGTTTCTCATAACCATGTATTAAATGATACCTTTACTTTCACAGTGAATTGAGGCAACATTAAGGAGCAAGTGACAAAGCATAGAGTGTGGCCCAGGAGGTTAGCTGGGATAAATTCTCTGCCACTGAGTGGTTGCTCCATTGTCCAGAAGCTAGAGTGTACATTTCTCCTACCTTATGGAACAATTTTGAAATTAATGACCACCATCCTGGGCCGTGAGATTAAAGTTAATTTAAGTAGAAAACCAACATCAATGGAAGAAAGAGAGAGAAAGAAACAGGGAGGGACAGAAAGAAAGAAAAGTAGGGAGAGGAAGAATAGGATGGGAGGGGAGGGGAGAGAAAAAAAAGAGAAAAAAAGAAAGAGAGAAAAACTGTCCCTTTCATAAGAAGACATGGAAATCCACCCAAGACAGGCAATGCACAGCTCACTGCTCTCTGCTGTGGGCAGTAGTTGGGTACAATCCAATGTCGTCAATCATTCACTCTCAAAGCTGTCATAAGACTTGAGATTGCAACACAGAACAACAGTATCAAAGCTTTAAGTGGTGTGAAGAGAGGAAGAATAACATCCCAGGTCCTTGGATATTACTCCATCTCTGCCTTAGGGAAGATTGCAAAGTGCCCTCCATCACTCTTAGGATCCTTCCTCCACCTGACCCTCATTTCCCTTCTCCCGTCTACTCCTCTCTGCCTCCATAGACCCACACACATCGCCTGTCTGGCAGGTTACTGTCTAAATTGTGGAGGGTGATGGAGGGAAAAAGAGGCCAATCGTCTGATCTCAACTTCTCACCAGCTCCCTTCCCATCCCTCTCACCAGACCTCCCAGACACCCTGGCTTGCAGCCAGCAGCTTCCTCAATGCTGGCTCCACTGGTAGCCCCCGTTATTCCAAAACCAAGATTCCCAATGTCACTTTGTCCGTTAGCCCATTTCAGACATGACTTTTGGCTGTCTAGAGTTCCAAAGATCCAAATGCTGTATCTCCTTCAGCTACCTCTTCATTGTCATTGCTGCTTTGATCCATCTAATTAACTGTGCCGAGAGCAAAGCTGTTTACCCTCTCAGTGCTTAATAACAGCATTGGGTACAGGTCTGTCAAAATAATGTCCATCTATCCTTGATCCCCAGAGACTCCCAAACCATACTTGGTGTTATTATACAATAAAGCTCTCTTTATAAGATTGTTTTTCAATTGAGTATTTGAAATCAAGAGGGGTAAAGCAAGTGGTATTTGCCTTCACAGTTTTACACTATTCATCTCTAGAGGGAGCATGTGTCTCTCTTGGACCACTGGGCATTGTAGAGCAGAGCCAGGAGGCACAAAACTGTGTTCTTCTCCTGCCCATCCACAAACCATGCTCCGTGTCCAGAGCCAAGCAAAGGAGCAGAGGGCACCGTTCCCACAGCAGCTAAGCCTGTGGTCTCTCCTCCAGGCCAGATTTCTGGAGGCACCAGGCCTCCCCAGGGAATAGAGCCTAGAACTATAGCTGAGCCACCTCTGAACATAAGTGTTTTACTGTCCTGCTAAGGCCAACACCTCTCTGCCCCCCTCCCAAATCCTTTTGGATGTTTTCCCTTTGCAGGCCCCACTGAGAAGTCTCCCCACTCAGTCAACATTGCAGTTGTCTCTGGCTGAGCTCTCTGTGTAGTAAATAGGTCAATTGTGACAAAAAGGTTTCAGTTGTTGCTATTGCTTCTTGCTGCAGGTGGCAAGCAGGTTCCTGTGTGAGGTTCACATCAGGTTCTATGTATTATCACAGCATATCTTACCTATTGATTTGGGTTTTTTTTTCTTTTTATTCTTCTTTTCCTCTGGCTCCTGGCCCATTTCTGCAAACGTACAAGTGTCACTTCTTCAACAAACAAAGGATTTCCTCTACACTCTCATAGGTTTGGTAAAACTCCATTGCTTTAATATTTCTTTTCTCCACTTAGCAACTCTTTCCAAAAAAGCACTACACCACAAGTGCTATTGGATGTCACGCAATGTCAGGCTACTTTTTTTTTTTTTAATTTCATTTTGAGTTCAAGCACTTGCAAAACCTCAAGCACATAAGCCCCATCCCCTGCCCATGCCTGAGCTTTCACCAGGCAGTTATGCAGAGATTGCACATCTAAGTTCTTTTCTTTTATCTACTTTTTCATGAAGAAAGGAATGGATAAAGAGTTAAAATAATAGCTTTAGATTTTGCTATTGGCTGGTTAGTTCTCTTCTTAGAGGAAAGAATGTTGTAGAAATAGATTGAAAGATGGGCTTTTAAAGTTTTGAAATAATTTATAACTATAATAGCCATTTACCGAGTGCTTATTCCAGGCACTGGGCTTTGTCTATACTGCTTTATTAATCAATGCAATAATTAAATTGAAGGTATTATTACTATCCCTATTTTATAGATGTATAGGTAAACTCAGACTAAGTAATCTGCCGAAGGTCTCAGACAAGAAAAGACCGAAGCAGAAATATCAGTATAGATTATACTGGATCCAAAATCTGTGCTACTAGCTGCCCTGGGAAAGAGCCTCCCTTAGTGACAAATTTACATTATCTGAGTTGTTCGAACTTTCATAAGAATATATAAAGTTCAAGGTACCATGGCTGTCATCGTTCTCTTTTCTTACTAGCTTCTCTCTCGCCATTTAAAAATCTGGACTACTGATGTTTTTTAACAAAGTAAAACAAAGCTCCAGGATAACTGAACATGCTTCTGACCCTCCTTAACTGTGTAAGGTCTCCATGCTAAACACACATGTCTCACGTTGACTCCTGTGGCCTGCCACGTATCAGTGTTGCAGCTTCTCCCATCACATCAGACCAACAGCATGACAGTTGCCAAATTTTCTAAAAAACATCACTAAAATATTTCAAAGATGTTATAATACCTGAAATGGTAAGTGTTCATCATAGTATTGCTCTAAGGGTTTTTTCCTGAGACACTTTAGAATTTGCTCAAATTCCTTATAATTCAACTGTACTTCTTATGACACAACTTTCATAAAACTGAACAAATGAGATTAGAAATCACCCCAGAGAGCCCACTTAGTCAATTTCCACACTGAAATCATCCAAACAAATCTGAATTTACTCTTATATTTAAACTAAAAAGTCTTAAAGACTTTTAGAGTTTTCCTATTCCATCAGTATGAATTATTAATAACAGAAGACATTTTCATAATTCTTTCAATGCTCATTTCATTAGATAATGTAAATTTAATTCTCACAACATCCCTATAAAGTAGATATATTATCTCATTTTGCAAGTAGGAAAACTGAGGCTGAGAGGGAATAGATGATTTTCCAAAAGCTCATAGCCAAGGAGTGACAGAGTTGGCAATCAAGCCTAGGTCTTCTGACTCTAGTACTAATGCCACTACTATTACACACAGTGCTGACGTCAAATTACAGATATTTTCTTTCTAAATCTTTATAAGGACTTCTAGCAGAAGTCAATATATGCCCTTTCTTTTTTCCCTGAAAGAAGCGTTCTCAAAGTTAGCAAAGAGAAACAAAGAAAAACTCCTCAAGCTATGTGTTCAAATGCCTTAAAACACATAACAGAGATGAGTCATTATCAATTTGTGTGTGTGGTTTTGTTTTGTTCTTCTGTTTTGGGCAGGAGTGATATTACTGAGCAATCACTTATGAAGGTTCAAGGCTAGGCCTTTGTTGGAGCTGGTAGTCCATGAAATATGCTACTGTTCACTGAAGATGATTTGAGAAAGTTAAGTTGGTAGCAATAAGAGGCATAATAAACTATGATGAATATATATGATTTAGCCACTTTGCATTTTGGAATAACACATTTCCAAGCTCACATGAGGTACAGTTAGAACAGCATGTGATTCTTCAGCTTATTAGGCAGAGTGTAAAGGCTAATGGATTCTGATAAAAAAAAAATGATGAAGGAATATAAAGGTATGGATATGATTTTTAAATTCTTCTAACAGTGCTCATGTCTTATCCACTTCCCAGTTACCTACCACCTCCAGGAGTGACCAACAAGTGTCCCATACCTTTCATAATACCTAAGCACCATAGCTAATAATGGGCAGTCCTCTATGCACATGAACAATGCTGCTTACACAAAACAGTCTGGCCCTCGGGGCTGTTTTTCTAATGCGGTGGTGCTTGATCTGTGTGCATCTGCTCGGTCTCACCCAGCCATCCCTTGTGCAACTAAGGCATTTGCGATCATTAGAAAGACTGCTGATGGAGGTAGAAGCACAGGCTCTGTTGGTGGAACTGATCAAATCTAATTAGCACACATCCCCATGATGCTGGAATCATCAGCTCAGTGTTTCAGCCAGCCAAGACACTTAGGAGGTTATTTCATGCCGCTGGGGGTGACTTTCCATCATCAAAGGTTTTCTGCTTCCCATAAGGTGTTTTCACCATTCTCCTAAAAGGAAGCAAGGAGGGCAGAGCCAGACCACCACAGACCACCGCCAGACTGTGATTACTGTCACAAATTAAATGTGCTACACTGGGCAAGTCACTTAAACTTGCATGACTTTGAAACTTCTTAACTGCAAAATGGAATAACAGTACCAGGTTAACAGTACCAGTAATAATAACAGTACCAGCTTTGCAGGTTGTTGGAAGGATTAAATGAGTTGATACCTTTACAATATCATCACTCCCCTTTGCCCAAGGGATAAAATCCAAATCCTTTAGCATGATTTTAAAACCCTACACTTGCTCTCCAGTTGCATCCCTTGCCATACCCTTCTTAAATTTTCTGCTTCAGCCACACTGGATTTCCTTTCCTTCCTTCACCATACAAATCTCCTTTGCACACACTGTTTCTCTTCCCCCACCCTATCTTTAGCTTAGCTTAGGTAATTATTCAAGTCACATTTGACATCAGCTCTCCAAGATTTCCCTGACATTGTTTCTCCCTTCCCCCTAGCCAAATCTACACTAGAACACCAGGCACTTTACATATGAAAGCATCTGTTTATTCATTAATAAATATTTTCTAAGCACCCAGTTACTGTTCTGGATTCTAGATAGAATGAACAAGAGGGACACGGTCTCTGCTATCATTTTTGGTTCGGAAGCAAGAAAATAAATAAGTTAGCCAAATAGAAAGCGAGTGAAATTTAGATAGAATAGGATCACAATCCTTTATCAAAAACCACTAGGACTAGAAGTGTGAGAAATAAAAATAAAATGCTAACCCTCCGCCCCACCCAGACCAGACCGAACGAACGGACCCCCTTTTTAGCCACAGGGACTCCAGAGAAACCTTAAAACTGAGTTCCATGGTGGGATGGGAGGTCAGACACACTCCTCCTTAAGCACCATTATTAGGCTGTCTTACCTAAAGGCTGAACAGAACCTGAACAGAACCAGCCTTTGGAAAGACTTGCTCCACCCCTGATTTCAACCACCTAAAGCTGCTGCTCCCTTTTGCAGTTTCCGAACAAACTGACTGAAGTTCCTTCCCACTAAGAGGCCGCTGACTACAAATGGAGTGGTTCTAGCCAGTCTAAGAAGGATATGTTGAGAGGATTTTTGTGTCCCTTGCTTCACCTTTTGCCATCAGAGGCCCGATAACGCCATCCTTGCATTATGTTCATGCCGCCATTTTTTGGTACCAACTTGAAGGTGCGTGAAGGTCAACTGCGCACGCGCATGTTTTTTCTTTCATAAATATTCATGACTCCTCCCATAGCTTGTTAAATATGTATATTTGGCCATCCTGCTCAGCATAAATTCCTGTTGTTTGTCCCCTCCGGGGAAGTACATGCTTTGGGCTTCTGCCTTGGGCTATTGCTTCCCAGTCTGTCAGTGTGGCCACCAAGCAGGCTGCAACCCTTTATGAGAAATAAAGCTTGCCTTTCCAAATTTATGAACCATGTCATTTCTTTAGTTAACAAGTGCTTCTAAATTCGGAACTTTTGAATTTTAGAAAACGAATCCAATGTTTACACTGTTTGTTGAACCAACAGGAATGGAGGCAGCATCCCATAATCAAACCCTTGAAACTGTCCACAGTAAAATGTATAGGTGTTCGTAATAAATTAAGTAAATAAAGATCATAGCCTCATACCACTGGTACTAATTAGTTTGCACCAAAATTATGGATTATGAGTGGGCTGGGGGGAGTTTAGTTTTCAGAGAAATTTGGATTTGGGAATCGAAGGTGAGAATGACAGAATAGAGAAAGGTTTGTGAGGAGAGAAGGGTCCCGAAATGGAGGGATCCAGAGAGGTCTCTCTGGGGAACAGCACTGGAGCAGAGACATGAAAAGTGCAAAGAGGCCTGATGGGTAAAAGTCTAGAGAAAGGGCACTCCAGGCTGAAGGAGCTGCTCGGGCAATGATTAATTATTTGATTTCCTGCCCCTTGCTTTTCTGATCAGCAATTTAGTAGCTGTGGGGATCGTGTTTTCCTAGACCACTGCTGTCTTGTGTCCCCAGTGAGGACAAAGGTGCCTGGCACAGAGAAGATGCTCAAAAAACATTTGTTAGGAATGAAAATAATTGATTTAACAAAATCAATTGTTAAAATGAGGTGGCTAATTATTAAAATGTTAAGACAGTGGAGACTAATATATAACAACGAAGATCAAGACCTTCTCAAAGACAACCAAGGAAGCTAGTAAAATTGACACTCAGCAGTGTCCAAGTCCAGCATTTGCTTTGTTCACTAAACTTGGGGGCCATTAGTTGCTCACCACGGATCACCAGCAGCACCTCTCCACCAGCAGACACTGGGGAAAGAAAGCCCTCGCTCTGGGATCCTGCCAGTGAGGCAGAGAGAAGTGTTTGCTAAGCAGCCAAAGCAGCTGCTGAGATGCCGTGATAACTAACAGTCATGCCCAGTTATGAGTGCGCCCGCTCCCCCAACCCAGGCCCACACCCTCCCTCTCTTTCCCAGCCTGATGGGCCCTTCCTTTGGACAACAGCACTGAGAACTGCCCAGCCTGCCTGACACTGGGAAGACACTGCTTAGCACCTTCAAAGGATAATTATATGTGCCAAACCTTACTTACATCGGGGAAATAGTCTACGTAAGTAAACCCATCTCCTTAAAGCCACCTCAGGCCTTCTCATCACTCCCTCCTTCACGGTCCATTTTGAGGTTTCCTAATACTCTAATTCCTTCGAGTCTCTCCTGGTAACCCTGTGGTGTGACAAATACGTAAATCATAAAATCAGAGGCCTTAAAGAGACGTTGAGAGGTAATTTGAGTCAAATCTCTGTTTTCAGGCACAGACATCTTTAAACAAACTGTAGAAGATGAGAATCTACCACCTATATATTATTTTAAGCCTTGGAGATATTCCATGACCTTTCATAAGAACCCAAGATACTGATAGTAGCAGGGGATTTACTTATCATGTCAATAAAGACCATCATGCAACTTTTGATTAGAAGTAATAACATTAAAAGTTTAAAAAGTTAACAAAGGCTTATAGTAAAGAATTAATGATTCATGGCAATAAAGTCAGAGTATTTAAATATTTTGTGTTCCTGAATGTGAGTGTCTTTTAGGTGATCAGTATTTGGAGTCTTAAAATGAAATAAGAAAGAGATGGCTCACATTGAAGAAAGTATAAAGTTTATTGATTGTTTTGGTTTCAGAAGTATACTTTCTATCCTCCTGCCCTTGTAAATAATATTAGCAAAAGGACAGCCATTCACCTTCATCACAAATGAAGTCATCAGTACATCTGGAAAACATTAGTGCCACCTTCACAGGTCTGCTGACTGATGTCCATTGGCATTGCTAATAGGTTCCATTAAACAGAGCACCTAGATTTCATCCGTCTCCCCCTCCTACACGCTTAACCTCTTGGGTTCTCTTCTATCAGAGAACCACTGGTTATAGCATGCTTGGATGTCCACTCTAAAGAGTTGATTTTAAAAAAATACCCATACAAGAAAATTTGAAAGGGAACCTACCCATCTGTATATCAGCACCAATATCCTTTTTTACAAAAATCACTGAATTTTATCCAAAATATAAAAATCAACATACAAAAGCCTAACAAATAACAAATGACCTATTTGAACTAGTGTTATCGAGCAAATCACCATGGTACATTCAAGGCACCGCGGTACATCCTACCAATCAATAAGAGTATTATGTGCTAATTGAACAATGTTATTATATACTTATTTTTATTTTGTATTACTGCACATGCATATTGGCTTTCCATGGCTGAGTAACAAATTACCACAAGCTTAGGAGTTTAAAACAACACCCATCGATTGGTTCATAGTTCTGTAAGTCACAGTCCCACATGGCATAACTGGGTTCCCTTCTCAGGACATCATAAGGCTAAAATCAAATAATTGGCTAGCTGAGTCTGGCAGTTATGGGGAAAATGCACTTCCAAACTCATATTTGTTGTTGGCAAAATTCAGTTCCTTGCAGTTATAAGACTGAAGTCTTATTTTCTTTGCTACTTACTGGCCAGCTCTTACAGGCCATTCTCAGATACTTTCCATGTGGCCCCCATAGGCACATCAGAATATGATGTTTGCTTTCTTCCAGCCCAGCAAGAGAACATCTTTAAGATACCCTCTTTTACCATCAGCCAAGGAAGGCCTTTGCTTTTAAAGAACTCATATAATTGGGTTAGGTATACTCAGATAATCTCCATATTTTAACATCAACTGATTAATAACCTTAATTAAGTCTCCAAAATCCTTTGCCATATAAAATAACATAATCACAGGAACACCCCTAGGAGGCAGACATAATGGGGCCATCTTAGAATTCTGCCCACCACACATGCTAATAGCTATGGTATAGGTGCTAATAGCTCATTTTTGTCATTATTTCTGTTGTTTATAATAGCTATTATAGCTATTACAAACTCCTAATAAATTCTGAACAACTTTCTCCATTTGACTTTTAAGAATTGTTTACCTTTTGCCTCACTCCATTCTGTTCTACCTCTTTGTTGTTTTTTTTCACTTTATTCCTCCTTCCTTATTCACTCTATCCATCTCCATATTCTTCCTTCTCTGTCTTCAGGTAAAGATATTGTCATTTTGAGTGTATTTTACACACAGGTGCTCTGTAATTAGTTATAATAATATGTTACACTTCCATAGTGTCTCTCATCAAAACCTCAAAGCTTTTTAAACATTAATTATGCCTCACAATGTATTTGTGAGGATGAGGAGGGTGATTATTCCATTTTACAGATGGGAAAACTAAGACTCAAAGAGGTCGTATGTGTTCCCTAAATCATCCAGTTAACAGAAAAAATAGAGGGGTCAAACCTAGCAGTGTGTCTTCTCTGCCTCTGAGAATTCTCAGGGAATTTTTAAATATCTCTCCCAGTGATCTTCACTTCGGAGTATATCTTCCTTCATTAATGGTGTCTCTGCTTCCGGCTGGAATCCATGCCGGAATGATACACTTAGGAAGGAGCCTCTGGTGATGTCAGGGCTCAACTGTGTGCAGGGAAGTTGTTTAGGTGAAAGAACTGGCGCCAAACCCTGACAGTGGTGAGACTTAATTGAGGAGTGAAGAGCCAGACGTGGAGTCACCAAACTTCTGAAATGAAAGGGGCCATGGACACCATCTAGTTCTCACTTGACAAGTGATAAAAATGAAGTCAGAGAAGTGAAGTGGCTTGAACTTTATACTAGAATGAGCTCAGAGCTGAGCTGGCATCAGGGTCTAGGAGTTGGGGCTTGTAGAGCAATAGCCTTCCCGCTGCCATGTCTACACTGCCTGTGTTGTTCCTCTCTGCTCTCCACTACCCCCTAGTGGCAGGGGGAGAAAAGAGACCCCACCCCACCCCCCAGGACCAGGGTATTGGCATGAGTTGAGAGTATGTGGCTTTGAGTTTGGGGTGGGGAAAGAAGGAATGACCTTGAAGTGTATTTCAAATTTATACACACCTAATACACTTCCTAGAGATATATGAGGAAATTCTATTTCCTTACCATCAATGCTTGAAGGGGAAGCAAGCCCTTCATTCTTCGTCTGTGGCATACTTCCAGTTTCTGCTTTTTGCAGGGAGCTGGTCTGACTTTTCTGTTGCCGACGTTCTGTTTATATTAAAATATTTTTCTAATTTCCAAACTCTCCACAATCCTAACCACCATACCTTTGCCCAAAAACAGAATATTTGGGGGCAAGAAAAAAATAACCAGACTTATTCAGGGGAAACACAATTAGAATTTGTGAGTTTCCCAATCCCTTTAGTCTTCTACTAGTCTACAGAAGGCTGTTACGGTAATTCTGGCCAAAAACAGTTTAAGTCTAGACTAAAGTGGGAGTATGGGGAAGTGGGTGGATTGAAGAGCTATCTAGCATGTAGAATTGACAGGATATGATGACTAACATATCCTCACATGATGAATGTAACAGGTGAGAGGAATGGAGTAGCAAGGATGACTGCATGTTCTGGCCTGTGCAACTGGTATCATTAATCAAGTAGTTACAGTCACTCCTTTGAAATATATTCTACATGCACTCCTCCTACTTCTAGAAGACATGTTAACTGGTATCCAAGACTACAGTTTCCTCTTCAGTCTTTTAATTCATTGTACATATCACCACCACGATCTTTAAAATATTACTCAAATGAAGGGAAAACCGTCAAAAGCTTGCCATTGCTTACAGCAATACCATGTTAACTCGTTAG